TTGATGGAGAAGGCCTGGACTTCTTGCAGGAGAAATTACTGAGCAGGTCAGAGGAAGGAAGAGGAGAGGTGAGCAGCATGAAAACATCACCATCGTTACAATCATGCCCTGAGACGAGAGGAGGTTCTTGCTCTCCTGGGGCTGATCTGCCCAGGCTGAAATCTCATCCTGAACCTCAGTGGTCCACAAAGAAAATCTTGCTATCTTTCCCTGGAGTTCACAATATCAGACAAAGGTGGCTCTGCTAGACAGATTACTGATAAAAGAAACAACTGTATAATTTCCATTGTGCCCAAATATCCCTGTAGTCATGACAACATCCTCAGAGACTTATGACACTGACAGCTGGGGAGATGGCTGATTTCTTCCCAATAATCACAGCTACCACGTAAGATGAATTTTGGCCTAGCTGAATTCTTGAGGGATGCTGACTGCAGGGTGATTCTGTGTGGGGGTCATGAAGGGAACGGAGGCTTTGGGGGTTACCAGAAGTGAGTGGGCAAAAATCACTAGTCACTTGGGTCCTTGTCTGACCTGGAGGGAAGTAAACTGGTGGTGGTTCTGGTTTAGAAATGTGTCCCCTGTCCCCCATTGAACCAAGCCTTTCTGTTCCTCCAGGGGCCATTATTACTCTACCGCTGGATTATGGCAACTGGCCCTTAGCAGTTCTCCCTTGAGTATATAGGCTATACCCTGCTCCCCGTCAAGCTACAGTCCAAATCATTGTCATCCTGTTATTCTACTGAAGAAGCTCTTCTTTAAAAAATTGTAGTTGATTTATTATGTTATGTTAGCTTCAGGTGTATACAGCAAAGTGACTCAGTTGTACATGTACACAGACATACATATTCTCTTTCAGATTCTTTTCCTAATGTATAGATTATTACAAAATATTGAGTATAGTTCCCTGTGTTATACAGTTGGTCCTTGTTAGTAAGACTGTCTTGTAACTTATCCTTCTACTACTGTGTTGAAGCTTAAGCTCCTTGCCTTAATTTAGTTTTCCAATCTTCCAGAGCCAGTCTATCTTTATATAGTCAAACTCCTCAGCATATGCCTTCTTTTTAGTTGAGATTCAGTATCTCCCCATCCTCTCCCTACTCCATGATGCTTTTTTGTTCTATGGGTTTGATCCTCTCTTTCTTTCACAGAAAATTCCTTCTTTTTTGTCTTTCTAAATTTTATTCATTCTCCAAGTTGCAGCTAAATTCTGCCTACCTCCCAAGAAGCTTTCCNTCATTCTCCAAGTTGCAGCTAAATTCTGCCTACCTCCCAAGAAGCTTTCCTTTAATTGAATCAGTTCTCTTATCTATGGCCAGTGCCACACAGCTTGGCAGATGTGTTATTTCCAGGGCTTAATGAATGATAAATAGCCTTTTCTTCTCCAAAGGCTGAGCCCTTTGTGTTGAGAGCTGTCCTTTGATGTCAGACATTACTGAGTGTGCCTGTGCACGCACGTGCACACACACATACATACGTGGTGTTGGAAATGAACAAAGAAGGGGTTAAGATTATGCAGGATTATTTAATTTTGCTTGTCCAGAGGGAACTTTCTGGATTTGTCAGCAGTTTGGTGAGAAGGATGCCTTTTTCCTTTGAGAAACACAAATAATATATTTTCATGTTTGAATGCTGGTCAGTGGATTCTGTCTATAAGAAGCAGTTAAAGAGGCCTTCCAAACCTTAGAAATATTGAAAGAGAAAAGCAATATAGCTGCCAGCAACACATCATCATCATCATCATCATCATCAAATTAATCCTTGCAAGACTCTCAGAGATAGGTATTCTTTTTTTTCAAAGGAGAAGAGAGAACTGAGGTACATAGAGGTGGAGTCCCTTACACAGACTCCCTTAGCTAGTCAATAACAGGGTCAGGAATTTAATAAGAATTGCTACTGTTTACTGAGAAGAAAGACTGAGCACCCAAGAATTGATGCTTTCCAACTGTGTGTTGGAGAAGACTCTTGAGAGTCCCTTGGACAGCCAGGAGATCAAACCAGTCAACCCTAAGGGAAATCAACCCTGAATATTCATTGGAAGGAATGATATTGAAGCTGAAGCTCCAATACTTTGGCCACCTGATGTTAAGAGCCAACTCTTTGGAAAAGACCCTGATGCTAGGAAAGACTGAGGCAGGAGGAGAAGGGGCAACAGAGGATAAGATGGTTGGATGGCTTCATCGTCTTAATGGACATGAGTTTGAGCAAACTCCAGGAGATACTGAAGGACAGGGAAGCCTGGTGTGCTGCACTCCATGGGGGTCAGACACAACTGAGCAACTGAATAACATATTGAGAATTTTCTAAATGTCAGTCATTCTTTCAGTACTTCATTCAGTACAATGCAAGGAGGCAGGCAACGTTATCCCTCATTTACAGAAAGGAAAACGAACCTAGAGTTGTTAAGCTGATTACCCAAGGCCACACAACTAAGAAGGGTAGGAGCTGAGACCTGAGCCCAACCAGGGGGCCCTGGAGTCTCTGCTTCCTCACTACTCTCTGCCACTCTTGGATCCCTGGTCTCTGTTGCCATGCCCAGCAAATGGCTTAACTTTTCTAGTCCAAGAAGCTACTTTCACCACTCTTACCAAAACAAATTAAAGAGAGGAGAGCAGAAAAGAGGGAGAGAGACTTAGGGGAGGGGGGGGGAAGAAACATCTGGAATTGCTAAGGTGAGTTGCAATGAAGACTCTGCTGGAATCATCTTTGGCTGCAGGAAGCAGATGGCATAGCTGCCATCAACAGCCTCCTAAGAAGCTCTAACAGGTCCCCATGTGAAAGGAAGATGACTGTCAGTTGGGGGTGGAGGCCCACCCAGCTGAGTAAAGGGTTTGTTAAGGTGAAATTATGGTTTACTAAGTAGCAAAGAACAACATCCAGCTGCCTGAGAATTATGCTGACAGGATGCAAAGGCAAGAGAATATTGTGTAAACCTTATTTACAGATCAATAGATAATCTTTCATACACAAAAGGTCAGCTCCAGGAAGGCAGAGCAGTAAAGAAAGAAATATTGCTCGTAAATACAATATTGACTTGAAAAAATCCACCCAGATGAATCCTTTGATATATACTCTTCTAGACAAAGTACATTTCTTTATTCATGAATTTTTTTCTTCCCCTAACCATTTCAGGTTCCATAGTGAAGTATGAAGGGAGTAATGAAGAAGGCTGATTTCTAGTTGTTTTGAATTCTGTGCCATCAAATGATCAGTATAAAGTGGAATCAAGTTTGAGAATTTCAGAGCAGCATTTCTAAGTGTGTGTATGCAGCATTTAGTGTTCTTAAGTCAAATGACAACTCACCCCTACTCTTTGTAGTTTCCTGCCTTGCTGGCGCTGTTGATAAACATTTATCCTGGCTTAAGGAAGTAAAAAACTATTCTATCCTACTGGTCCTCTCTGGATTCCTTCATCTATTTTATGTTTCTTCTTTGCCTTGAAGCAAGTAGTTCATCATTCCCCAAAATACCTGAAATCATTACCACCCACCCCCACTTGGCTGCTGGACTGCAAAGCTGTTCATGACCGCTGCCCAGATACAAATAAGTGTGGGAGAAGAGGGAAGCTTCCTTGGGCTTTGTTTCCATGACATAATCTTTTAGGTTAGAGGACCACCTCTAAATTTGGGTGATTCCTCTCAGCAATTTGAAAAATATTTCAAAGGACCACGGTCTGAAAAGCCTGAATGATGCTTTGCCGATAGTGTTTTTGGGGTGCAGAGTTGCTTTAGTTCTCAGGGTCACCTTGGGCTGCAACCTGGGAGCAGTGTGCAGCTGGGAAAAGTCTTCCCTGGGCAGCGAGTCCAAAGGCTTGAGAGGGACAGCTGTTCCTTCCAGCTTCCTGATGGGGATCAGCGTGGCTGGTTGTGAAAGAATTTATACTCTGTGGAATTATGTGAGTATATGTGCTTTTCAGAGCCATCCAGGAGGATCATTTGACAGTGACACAATTCCTTTAAACTAATTACAAGTTCTTTTCTTTTTGCAGTTAGAAAGCATGTTTCAGATACCCTGAGAATGATAACGCCCTCTCATGGACAGATGTGGCTGGAATCGGTCACCTCCAGTTTTGTCTGGACTTGACAGGGTAGTTAGGTAGGACTGAGGATTATTTAACACCTCCAAGTGAGAAAAGGACACAGAGGCGTCTGGACTTAATGACACGTGGCAGAGGTTTCAGCTTCTTCCAGAGTCAAAGTCAGAACTGCGTCCTCCCTGCTCTTCCAGAGTCCCCCCTTCAGTCTAGGGCCATGCCTTCTGCGCACACACACTCCTAATTCCCCCCTTGCCCTTACTCCCTGGAGACAGGGCTGAGGGTCCTTGCTAATGAATGGCACTGGCCGCAAAGTACAAGCTAATGTTAAACGCTGGAGCTCTTAACTTTGCGGTGACTCCCCATCCCCTGGATTTTCCCAGTTCCCCATTCGCAGACCTGCCATTATCACCACGGGCCGTGGAATGTGTGTGTGAGAGGGTTGTTTCTTCCCGAGTCGCTTCTCTGCAGGGTGCCTCCCATGAGCCGCGTGTGACAGTCTGTGAACAGGGGTGTCCCTCTGTATGTCTCAGGTCTCTTTTGTTCTGCTATATTGAAGGCTCTGTGGCCACCCCTATTCCACTCGGACTTTTTCTAAGAGGAAGGGGAGAGGAGAAAGGGAGGGATAGTAATTGGGAGGGAGAGAAGAAAAGAAGGAATGAAGGAAACCACCTGGGTAATAGGCACTAATAATTTTATATTTATATAGTTATTTATGGCTTATATGCTAAAAACAATTTGTAAAATGTTTTTATAGGCATAATCTCATTTAGTTTTTATAACCACCTAATTTATAGCTAAAGGAACTGAGGTTTAGAGAAGGTGAAGTTTATCTAGTTAATACAGCATCCCATCTGGAATCCAGTCCTTCTGATGTCATGTATAGTTTTTTTTTTTTCTTTTCTATACTGCTCCATTAAATGTAAAGGCATGTCCCAAAGTTCTTTATTGTTGAATTCATGGTAAACACCCTGGGTGAAAGTTGAAGGTCTTAGTAGCCACCATAACTCTCTATGAAACCCTTACTGGACTTTTTTTGAGGGTAGACTTGTAGACTTTGACTAGTTGGCCAGAAATAACCATCCCACAAATACTTAGTACATTTATTAATGTTTTTGTAGTTTACAGTATATTTTCACATATGAACCTCACTTGAAAGTCCTATAAGCTTTGCCCATCTCAGAGGTCTGGTGATTGGTCCAAGAGTGAATGGTGGACTCTTGGATGAGGCTCTAGATTTTTTCTCATCCTAAGGCCTATGCCTTTTCTGTTACCTCGGCTTTCCTCTGCTGTGCGGTACCTGACCTGTGTTAGATTCTGCAGAGTATAGCAAAGCCCATTTAAAGAGCCAGGACTCCTGAGCTGATGGTAGCCCTGACCTCTCAGCATGACTGAATACATAATTTGTGAGGGGTAGGGCTCTCTGTTCAAAACTGTTAGAGCATTTCAAGATGGTGACAGCAGGGCATTAGACCTGGAATGAGGCCCCCTGAGTGTGGGACCCTTCTGAGCATGGAGCCCTGAGAATGCCAGTGAGGCTGGTCCTGCCTCTGACATGACTCAGGAGTGGAGACTTTGTTTCTTTCTCAGATCGTTTCTGGGGCGCCTATCAGAGAGCCGAAGTCCCAGGTCATATGGACTTTGTTCTGTTAAACCTTTTATTCCCTCCATCAGTCTCCATCAGAGAGCTAAGCCACAATGGCCTAGAGTTCCTTATTATATTAATTGCTAACTCCAGTTCTCATTGATCAAGAGTTAGGGACAGAATCAAAATATCACTAGTATTTATGTGATTTACATTACTAGTATAATGTTTATTGAACATTTACTATGTCACAGGCACTGTGCAAAACATTTTAGGTGCTTTGAATTGATTGAAAGCATAAGTATTAGTCTCTCAGTCGTGTCTGACTCTTGGCTTGACTGTAGTATGCCAGACTCCTCTGTCCATGAAATTCTCCAGGAAAGAATACTGGAGTGGGTTTCCATCTTTATCCTTCCCTGTATCACCACACCTTGTCTTGGTGATTTTGCAGCTTTTCTCATCAATCAGAGGATTCTATTTCTCCACCTCTTAAACCTGGGTTGGTCCCAAGAATGATAAAATGCAACAGAAGAAATGGTGTGTAAATTCAGGGTTTAAGTCTCAAGAGGCTTACAAGCTTACTCCTTCTTTTGGAACCCCAGGTCTGCTGTGAGAACAAGCCTGTGTGAGTTGGCTAGAAATGAACACCACTTGGTGGAGAGCTGTCACACCAAACTGAGATCATCCAGGGCAGCTAGCACCCACTTCACCTCCCAGCTAACTTCAGATACACGAGTGAGCTGAGTTGAGGTCAGGCCAACGGAATACAGCTTGGCCAATGGATTTCACTGATCAGCTGGCAGACAGGTAAGAAATGATACATCAGTTTTGCTTAAAAACTGTCTTTTGGAGGTAAGTGGGTATGCATTCTTATTAAATTAGTAGATAACAGATGCACATCCATCATTTCCAAGGAAACAAGCTTTGAGAGGTTATATTTATGCCTGTGATCAGTAGTTAATAAATGGTTCTGAAAAGTGTGACTCTATAGGACAAGTTCTTATCTGTTATTTTGTGGGATCCCATTGTAGCACTCAGGGTTCTGTCAAGCCCTTAGCTAATTTGAAAGCTGAGTGGAAGAAGCAATGTTTTTGCAGATAGAGTCAGGCCCAAGGGATGGAGCTCAAACACCAAGAATCTCTCTGCTGATAAAAATACCATGTCTATTATTAACCAAAACTTTAATATAAAACATTGTACTCTATCAAAGGAAAAAATGCTTACACGCAGAACAGGAAAGACGATGCCTTTGAGGTCAAGGTCACAAGCTAAATGCTAGCAGAAATTTTGGCTGTATCTCATTAACACTAAATTATGACTGAGTTCTGCAAGAGGTCTGTGTGACAGTCCCATTAATGCAAATGGCATTCCTTATGATGTCTGCTTTTGTAAATGAAAACCAAATGCAATTATGTCAGTGGAATTTACTCATTAAGCTAAACTAAAACCCACCAGCAAGTATTTCCTCACTTCCTCTATTGCCCCACATCTTTGATTACAAGCAGTTGCTCACCAGAGTTGCAAACGGATATTTTGCTAAAATACGAGTACACGATTTGATAATAGAAGGGGCACCAGAATACAGAAGTTCTTACAGATATCGGAGGTTGGGAAGGTTCTGGAAGGCATCAGGGTCGATGTATAGCAGGTTGTTGGCCTTTTCAATTCTACTGTGAAAGAGAAAAGAACATGCACATGACCTTAATGGTAAGGAATGCTTATGGTATTTTTCATATTATGCAAAGAGTATGTTAATAAGTTCTTCACCCATCTATCCATCTCTTTGTCCATCCATCATTTCCACAAATATTGAGCATGCATGTGGTGTCTTTTACTATATTAAACTGTGCAAACAAAATATTAACCCTGTCCTATATAACTCGCATCACTGAAGTTTTCCTGGAATCTATTCATCAGAGATAGTCGAAGCATGTCTGGGTGAGACATTTCACCCTAAACTCAGTTGAGTGTTTAACCAATAAGCATCTCCCAGGGTCTGAGGAGGGTAGGGATGAGACTAATGTGGGAAATGAGCTTTTTTTTTTTTTTTCCCTGTTTGGGAGACAAGAGAGAAGGGGATGGACAGCAACAAAGAGGGTGAAGAGTCAAAGGAGACTGGAGAAAAGTAAAGTGAAAGGTCAAAGGAAAACGAAGACTGGGGGACAAGCAGTGAACATCTCTGGCTTTCACGGTGCAGTCCCTGCAGACAGCAGCTGGCAAGGCGCCAGTGAGTTCCTCATGCTGCTGGAGGCTGCTCTCTCACAGCTCATGGGAAGTGATGGCTTCTGCCCTGGGCTGACCTGCGCCATGTCCTGATCAATAGTCTGGAGGTGGGCATGTTCACATTTGGATTCCAACAGAGAGAGGCTGCCCTTTCCTCATCTGGCTGGATCAATGTATATTTGCAGAGATGCTCTGTGTTAATTACTTCCTCCCTGTTTCATTAGCTTTAATGTTGCAGTAACCTGTAGCTATCCAGATCCAAGTACCAGGTAATTAATCATTTTAAATACAGGCAGTGTTACATGGCGGTGAGCCCTCTCCATGTGGGGGAGAGATGAAAGAGCCATCCCATTAGTTCCACTGCCCACTGAGCTGCACAGAGGGACATCTACTTGACCTTGCGCAGAGGGCTGGCTGCCCTTCGGTTCACTTCTCTGAGACTCTCTGTGGGTTCTGAGACCCTGGTCAGATTTCTTTTCCCTCCTAGGGTAAGGAGAGGCCAAGCAGAAACAGAAGGAAGGCATCAGTTGCAGAGGCTCAATGACAGCGAAGAGGAATGGGAGTGGGAGGTAGAAAGGGAAAGGGAGGACAGAGTCTGTCATAATGGACAGACTGTCATTCCTAAACAAATTCATATATATGTATGTATGCATATATGAATTATGCATATGTGTATATATGTGTATATGCTTGGCAAATGCTAAGAAGTTTTTAAAAAGATACAAAAGAGTCAAGTTATGTTCAAGTCCTTATCCTGCTGTGGATTTGGCTGGGTGACTAGACAAGTTCACAACTTCTCTCTGTCTTTCATTCCTCATCTGTAAAATTAGGAAAGTGGTTCAGTGGCTTTTCTAACTGTGTTCTCTGAGAATTTTGTAAGATATTCATCAGTGCTTCACAGAGGAACCTTTCCAATGACACTAGTTGAGAAACTCCTTAATACAATATCCTTCTTGCATATTCCAAGTGTATATTTGCATATTACAGACCCTGAGTTTTCCTATAGTAAGTGAGTCTATCTAACTTAATCTTATTTGACCATAGAATCTTTTTCCTTTTTTGTAACACGTAATGATTTTCTGTTTAATGATACACAGAATACACTTTGGAAAAATTTGGACCAGTCTCCAAAGTCTCATCTGGCTTTGATAATTTATAGTAACTTTAGGCTGGTATGCAACAGAGGTGTTATCTGTGTGAGTACTGGCATGTACATAAAACTAGAATGTCAACAAGAGAAAGTACATTTGGTTGGAGTAGTAAAGAAGCCAAGGACTGTAATGATAACTTACTGTATGCCAGTTTATGTGTTAGATATACATAACATTTATCATCTCCTTTATTCACCACAGTGATCCTATGAGGCATGCAATTTTATTATTCCTACTTTACAGAAAGAAAGCTAAGTCTTAGCATGACTTTTCATCTTGACCAAGGTTCCATGGTGAGTAGGTGGCATAGGCTAGCAGTCAAACTAGGACTGCCCATCTTCAACTACATCATGAGGAATTTGTTTTGGGCTTTGACTGTGGAACAAATTTGAATGAGAGGATGAGCTGGAAGTATTAATACGTGCAGTCACAGAGCTAGGGTCTTGAGTTTACTATGCGAAAATCCCTGAGAAGGAAGAAGCAGAATAAGATTAAGCTCTGGACTGGTACCTGAGTCACCAGGCAGACACATGTGGCAGCACCTGCTGGACTGACCCTGAGAGCCTCAAAGGAAATTCTAGGAGTCTGAGGACAGAGCAGAGTCAGGGCCTCCCAGGAACATAAGCAAACTTTAAGGCTACTGCCAAAAGCAGACATGAGCAAAACCCCACAGAGTCTTGCTTACATTTCATGTAGTTTGGGCAGGCTGGAGAACACCTTTGCCTCTATCACTTCCAAGACATCATTCTGTGAGATCTCTCTGCAAAGAAAGAAATATAATTCAAGTCAGTTCAGCTATAGTCCAGAATGGATTTAGGGCTCAGCCTAGAGCCGTGTGCCTACAGTGATTCATGAGACACACAGAACTCTACTCCGACTCGCAAAGAAGTCAGCTGTAATGATGAGGCAAAGCTAACATAAGATGCTAATACTTACAGAACAATGAGAAAATGAACCCAAGGCAGTGACTCTGGTCAGAGATTATTCAGTCTATAGGTATAGCCACAGTGGCGTAGAGAGGGAAAGAGAATTCATTAAAAGTATTTAGGGAATATACAGGGTGAAAACAAACTCTAAATAGACCAGGACCAGCAAACTTCTTCTAGAAGACCATGTAGTAAACTTTTTATTTTTTGGCTTTATGGATCATTTGGTCTCTGTTGCATCTACTCAGTTGATATTGTTGCATAAAAATAGGCATAGATATCATGTAAGTGAATGAGCATGCCTGTGTTCCAGTAAAACTTTATCCATAAAAACAGATGGCAAGCTGGGTTTGGTGTCATGGGCGATAGTTTGGTGACCACGCCCTGGATCATGGAAGCAAGTTCTCTCTGCTGTGCTGCTCTGGAAGATGAGAACCTCAAGTCAGTTTCTTTTAGATCCACATCCATGCTGTTACCAAGTGGAGATTGTTACTGCAAGACCTTTGACAGTACTGTTGTCTTGGCTCAAAATACCCGGAAAGATCCTTCAGGTCCCAGCCTGTTTGCTTCTGGAGTAATTGGAAGGGAGTGGAGGATGAAGTCCACTCTGCAGAAACCCAGAGCTTAAGAGGAGAAAAGGGCGAGAAGGGCGACTTAATCAGTTAATGTTTGTAAAGTGGCTCAAAGATGAAACATGCTATTATTAGGCCTCCTGAGGAAGACTCTCATGCAGTTTTAATGTGGCAGCTGAGAGAGCTTCAGAAAATCTCATAGGCGGTGTGCATTCAAATTGGCTCAGGCAAGGCGCTGTCTGCTGGCCTGGGCTTTTGCTGAGAAGCTCTAGAAATGCTCTTGATCAAGGGAAAGGCCTGGAGGGCAGGACAGGGAAAAGGCCTGTCGGGGGAGGGGAAGTATGACCATGAGCACGGGGGGCTGGCAACGTGGAGGGGTAGCAGGGGGTGGTGGGGAGCTGTCAGTTCAGTGGTGGCAGGATCCTTTCTCTCACTTCCCCATTAGCAAGGAATCATTTTGTGAGAGCAGTTCAGTTCAGTCGCTCAGTCATGTCCGACTGTTTGCGACCCCATGGACTGCAGCATGCCAGACTTCCCTGTCCATCACCAGCTCCCAGAACTTGCTCAAACTCATGTCCATTGAGTTGGTGGTGCCATCCAACCATCTCATCCACTGTTGTCCCCTTCTCTTCCTGTCTTCAATCTTTCCCAGCATTAGGGTCTTTTCCAAGGAATCAGTTCTTTGCATCAGGAGGCCAAAGTATTGGAGTTTCAGCCTCAGCATTAGTCCTTCCAATGAACATTCAACACTGATTTCCTTTAGGATGGACTGGTTTGATCTCTTTGCAGTCCAAGGGACTCTCAAAAGTTTTCTTCAACACCACAGTTCAAAAGCATTAATTCTTCAATGCTCAGCTTTCTTTATAGTTCAATTCTCACATCCATACATGACTACTGGAAAGACCATAGCTTTGACTAAATGGACATTTGTTGGCAAAGTAATGTCTCTGCTTTTTAATATGCTGTCTAGGTTGGTCATAACTTTCCTTCCAAGGAGTAAGC